TTTTGAAGTTTGGATATATTTATTATATGAAAGAAAGTGGAATATTAATTTTAGTGTTTATATATTTATGATCATTTCTTCGTGTCCATCCGCTAGTTTGTTCGACTTTGTTATGCTATAAATTACAATAAAAGAATAATTAATTATATGAAAAATAATAGTCGGGGCTACATATTATTTTCATTTGTATTTTTTTAGATTCAATAACTTGAAAGTGACGAATGAACCAAAGTTTTTCGTATGTCCGCGTCAAATATAATTGATCAATTTAATGAGCGGCGAGGCTTTCGAGCGATACCTGACGAAGAGGAAACTAGTTTAGGGCATGAATCAGATTTGGTTATGAGTTTATCTCAAAAAGAAATACTGATTCAAGCAACGGCTTCTCACCAGCATCAATTGGAACCACTCCCTAAGCCTACAACAAGCGACACCTCGCCACAAAACTCGGTTTCTACTGCAGCCGCTGTCGCGGTTGCACATCACCACCACAGCCTATCTAGTATTCAACATCTTCAGAACTTGCACAGCCAACATCAAAATACTCTATTCAACAATAACCACTCAACACCGTTTAGTGTGACTGACATTTTGAGTCCAATAGAGGAATCATACCGCAAATTGGAAATTAACGGAAACCCGCCCTCCCCATTTCGGTAAGCCAAAAATATAACATACATGACATACAAACACTTCTCTACGAATTAATTAAAAATTATTAATTATAGTAGTTTTGCGTGGTATATAATATAATTAATTTTTGAAGCTGATGAGAGGAAAAAAACATATTTTTGGTTTTATTACATATGTATGTATGTATATATGTATARCTATGGAGAAGAATGGATTGGTGTAAAATATAACAATCAAGAACATTGCCGTCGGGAGGTACCGTCTTGAATTCACTCATTCCGAGATGCCACGTTCTTATTAATTAAAATATATTTCTTTAATGTAAATCAATAGAAGATGCTAACAGAAATTCAGTTTATAGATTTTGAGTATCGAAATTTAAAACTGTACATAATACTTTTTGGCATATACATATATCCACCGTATCTAATTTAAGCTCAGGATGAATATTATAAAATCTGTGAAGAATTCTATACTGAATGTGTTTGGAATATTTAGAATTTTGGCTACACCCCCGCTTTGGGTATTTGCGATTTGGCAATCACCCACTTCAGGATAGTAATATTACTCTGTACACAATTTTGATAATTAACTTATGGTAGTAAGCCAATGCGCTGCCGACGCCGCTTCATAAAGCGCACAATAAGCCAAGACCATTCTTACGTATTCAAATATATTTTCTGTTATGCATATGTGTATGTAGAGTTATTAGAGTATCAGCTCTAAGCAGAGTTTACCTAAAAATATTTTGGAATAAGTCCACTGTTGTCATAACATTAATAATAATTTATGAAAGAGAACTTAAATTCTGATATACTCATTTTTGTCTATGCGCTATCAAATCATCAGAATTAAGTAACACTAAGTCTTGGCTTGGTTTATTCAAAATTAGTATGTTTATATACATATATGTGTACATGAGTTCACGCCCTTTGCTTAAAATTAATTTCGAGGAAAGGGCATGAACTCAGCTTTTCGGCATGGTTAGAAATATATATAATATAAAATATACACATCACCATATACATATATGTACATATGTCTGTACGTGGACAAACAAAGCTTAGTTTTTCTCTGCGCCACATGTTTTATTCAAATTTCTTAATACCTTCTCTTTTACTTAAAGATTTCAATGAAATTTACAACATATCCTATCGAATATTGGTCATTGAGCAACAATTTAATCATTTCAATCATTTCTTACTTGTTTATGTTTCTTATGAATAAAATTGAAACGGTATTCGAGAATTTAAACATATTCTATTTGCATGTGCAATACCTACGGACAAATTTCAAGCCTCTAGCAGTTTAATAATTGTACTCATCTTGCTGTCATCGTTCTGTCTAAAGTGATTTTAAATTAAAATAGGTATGCTTGCTCTGTAATAAAGTATTCAGATTTTAGCGACACGCACCCATTGTTGATTGGAGAGTTTTGAAACTTCGTATATACATATATTCGGGATAACAACCTGACGCCAACAAGTCATGGTAGATAATGAATCTTTCATAGCTAGCAAATTTCCTTCCTTTTTTAATGGCACGCCGTTTCGGGAAAACCATCAACACGAGTTTATAAATTCTAAATTTCATATATATTTAATAGAGCCTCGATTTTTGCTGTAATTTACCACACACCCTTAAATTCACCCAAGAAAAGTTATTAAACAACTAAGTTTCCATAGTATCTGTCTGTGTGTTTTTTGTGTAAGCAGAAAGAAAGGTTCAAGGAATTCCGTATTCGAGCAGTCTCGACTATAGCTTTCTTACTTGTTTCTTTTAAATTTTATGGATATAGATAAAGTATGAAAAAAAAGGAATTAAGACATTAATTAATTAATTGTATTCTTTTCAGCTCTAATTCTAGTGGCAGTAGTATTAATTCGCCAGGAACAGTAAGTACTTCAACAATGGCGAACCCGTACGCTATGGGATCACTGTATCATAGTCCAGGAGTTCAAAGCTATTGTGGACCGACAGATAATTTATCGTTGGCAGGACATTACACTGATATGCGAGGCTCGGCTTCGTGGTATGGATCAACGGCAAATGACCCTAGATTTGCAAGTACGTAATATAAGAAACAAATCAAATTAATAGTTTGAATACTGTTTATAGATTGATATGTAAATATGCTTTCTATAAAAATATAAAATAAAGTATAATATGTAGAATGTAGATTATAGTTCCTGAATCTCAGCCGGTAATAATTGAAATTAACAAGAGTACTCTTACTCCTCCTCCTCTGATATTCAAATAAGTCTACACTTTTTTATGCCCATATACAAAAACACATGCACAACACGCACATTGGAGTCTGGCAATTATTTGCTCAATATATCCTCTTTCATAATCTCAACCCATTTATAATGGTTTTGTTAAAAATATGTAACAAGCAGAAGGGGGCGTGGCAGACCCCATAATGTATATATATTCTTGATCAGGGCGACGAGCTAAGTCGATTTAGCCCTGTCCGTCTTTCCGCCCGTCCGCCTGCCCGGATATTTGAATGCGACGATCTCAGACGATATAAGAGCTACAGGATTTTTTTCTTGGGTCCGTGCGCATATCGAGTTTTTTTCAAAAAATCGAAAACTTGTCCCGTTATTTTCTTATTGATTAAAAACATTATCGAAAATCAGCAATAACCTTATACATATATTTATGCTGCCAATTTTTAAATATACATACTTTATAGAATATCGATTTTTATTATAACTCACCCCCACCCTTATAGCCACACCCTAACCACTAAACGTGTAAAATGCGTATTTATAATACTAGAAATTCGATCTAGGGCAACTCCATTCGTCTGAAAGCTTCATAGTTTATTCACAGTTGCTCGAAGGCTTTAGAGGATCTCAGTGTCGAGCAGTCTCGACTAGAGCTTTCTTACTTGTTATAAGCTGAACCCATTACAAATCGGAAATCAGGGTATAATATAGGCATAGGGAGGCGTGTCGATTTAGCCCTGTCTGTCTATCCATCTATCCGTATGCTTGAACGCGTTTAACTCAGAAGATATGAGGGCTATAGACTTGAAATTTGAATTTTGTTATTTTAGGCCCGCAGATTTTCCATAAATCGATAACTAATCCCGTAATTGAAATATAGTTATAAAATGATATCTTCTCCACCTTTATAACTAAATGTAGATTTATATGTATTTTGTGGAATTTCTATTTTTGTTAATCTACCATCACCTATATCCACCCCCTCATCACTAAATTTGCAAAAGACTTTTCTTTTAAGAACTAGAGACGTGGGTTGAGAGACTTGGAAGTTAATGTGTTTCAATGATCTCGTAATCGAGGAGTCTCGACTAGAGTTTCCTGACTTGTTTTAAATTTGGCTCAACAAAATTTTTATTACATGAATTTACGCACGTAATTTAAATTCATTTAGAGCTAAAGATATTTTTTTTAATCTTTGACTCGAAAAATATTTAGTTAAACTTAAAATAATAAAGTAACGATTAACTTTATATACAACGCAAATTTGAAGACTCTAGGTCTAAAAGTGTTCAAATTAGGCTAAAAAAACAAAATCAATTTTTCGATTATTCTCGATAAAAAAAGTTATCGGACGATTTATCGAAAAAATAAAGCAAACTCGTA